AAATTTTGACCTTTAAAGCAAATTTGTTATCAAACAGTTTTCTGTTCTATTTGCCTGCCTCGTTCCTACACTACAAACAATCGTGTCATCAGCCAGATCTCATCTTGTGCACTTCCGAGGTACTGCCCAAGTAGTCCATCCTCTCTCTCTCGTTCTCATGCCTTCTGCAATTCAAACGTCTCATTAAAACATGTGAATGCATTGAATGTCGCAAAATGCAGATTGTTTCTACAAACCAAATTATTAACTTATTATATTTTCTGTTTTGATTTTAAATTTGAGTAATTTTTGTATTACCTCATTCTAAATTTGTGCAACTTTATTCAATTTTGTTTGAGCTCCCCTGACGCTATGCATGGGCGCTGTATAAATTGCATATCGTTATTATTTTTATTCACTCCTTGATGACAATTAACATGTTTGTCCGAATTCGACAACTACCAGAATTTTATTCAAAAACTTTGAGTAATAACAAAATATTTTTTTAAAATTAGAAATAAATTTTTGCGTTCAACACGTTGTATTTAACACACTGGTTTCATGCAATGAATATTTGAAACGAAGACTAACAGCTTGAGGTAACACGCAACAACAATACAAACAATCCTTAGGATGTAGGTAGGTGCATTGTGTTTTACATCAAAACATGTTATATATTCAATGTTTATTTATTCTTATATTATCCCCTGATATAAATAGACATACTTGCTTGTACCACACCAAGCATATTTGGGCACATCTCAGCTGCTCTGCATACTGCATTTCCACGCTGAAAACATAAATATTATTACATATAAATATAATTATACATGAATACATATATATATATATATATATATATATATATATATATATGTGTGTGTGTGTGTGTGTGCACGAGTGTGGTGTGTGTATGTTGTTGTTAACGTTATTGTGTGTTATTGTAAAACTTAAGACAATCTTACTAAACACTACAATGCACCTGTCATAATCACCTTGAAATATCATCATTTTACTGGGATTGAACAACTTATATATAATTCAAAATATCCTCACCAAAGTCATTGGTTCTCGTTTAACGTAAATACTTATTAGAATTTGTGAACAGTCTGTAGCATTTTTCATCATTCCAAACAAAATTGAATTAATTTAGAACACTTTTTGAAGAACCCCTCTCTTTCCCGTCTGCAACACTTAGGTATAATGTCCTTCAAGCTCTCATGAATGTTTTTTCATTCAATTATTTGCACATATCTATCCATCAAGTTTATTACAAAAGTAGTTTTTTTTTATCAAACTTTGCTTCTTCTTTTAACTTTAAAACCTTAAAATAGTTTTACAAAATTTTGAAGTCAATCATGAATGTTAAAATGATCAACTTGAGCGAGTTGCAGTTACACCCGAATACGGTCACAGCCACCACAATTAGTTTCTCGAAGTAGTTTGTTGTCTTGATGTTTTTTATCACAAAATTAGTTCTTCGATTGTCATTATAAAAGTTTTTCTACTAAATTTACACTAAAACGCTAAAAATGTTAAATGTGTTTTTTGGCTGTGAAGAGCTTCGCAATAAACCGAGATGTAAATTAATCTTATTTATCTGCTTATGAATATTTCTTAAATTGTCATGCAATGTGCAATGTGCTTTCTATCTAAATGCTGTTTTCGTGTTTTTTTCTTTAAATGTTATTTTTAAAAATTTTTTCTGCCCTACAATCATGTATTAAATTTTTGTACACCATGAACGGTATTAGCAGTTATTTCAACTTATTTACATATGTAATTCTTTAAAGTTTATAATGTAATGCTGTGATGATGACAGCTGTGTTGATGTCAGCTGTGGTGAAGACAGCTACGATGATGTCAGCTGTGGTGATGACAGCTGTGATGATGATAGCTACGATGGTTTCAGCTGTGATGACGACAGCAACTATAATGACAGCTCTGATGAGGACAACTGCGTTGAAGACAAAACCTCAGTCACCAGTTTCAAGTCATCAGTTGTTCCATTCACTCATTTCATTTCAGCAGCACACGTCAAGCCACATTACGCAATACAACTTTCGGCACATTTTGAGCTTATCTTCAATGCGCCCATATATTTGATTGGAAGAGAATTTTTCACAACTCAACTCATCTCATCAAACAAATTTTCATTTCAATAATGAATAGGTTGCGTTTTGTTCCCTCAACACAACATCGTTTTGTGATATTATCACAATAATTGCTGTCATAATATATTGACCGTACAAACAAAATCACTTGGAGAAAGCAAACAAATGTGCACAGGAGAGCAAATACGAAGCCCACCACGCAGCAAGCTGCGGATGGAAATATATGTAGCGTGATTAATAACAATGGAGAAAAATTATCTATCAATGATCCATCATACAACGGATTGTTAGCAGCATCTAAACATATAACAATAACATTATCTGTATTTTCTATGTTTTAATTTCTTTTATCCTTCACTTATATTCGGTAGAGGAAAGATCGATGGCAGGGAAAAAATCCCAAAAATGTGTTTGGTATTTAAAAGATAACAGAGCATTTCTTTTATGCTGCGTCAGTACAAACATACAAAGACTTCCAGTTATGCAAGTTATTTCCGAATTTATCAAATTTTTTCTGACGGATATTTCTGTCAAAAACGTTTAATTTAATATCATTATCTACGAAACCAAACATTTTATAATAATTAAAATTGTTAGCCGCTATTTTGAATTTAAAAAATAATTTTAAAACACCAACAGAGAGCAACGTGCAGAGAATCACACGGACAGCCCTTGAAAGTTTGCACTGATAAACGCTCGCACGAACAGCACACAAACGAAAGCAAATAAACAGTAAGCATTTTCTGCGCTCCACACTTAAACAAACATTAAGACCTACAACACGATCTAAGTGTGCATTAGAAGATCTTCCTATCTGATTACAGCATTAACAGAATTAAAACTCAATACTGCTGTGCGATTGCTTACAGTCTGTTTTCTGCTGAATGTTAGTTAATAAGCGAAATACAACTCCGTTCAGAATTCATTCCTGAGATCAATGATTTGAATGAATGAAATTGATGTGTTTTATTTTTGGTCGCATCTGAATTGTTTCATACTGGTTAAAATAAAATATCTAAAATTATTTCAACAAAAAATATTTTCAAACACAAATAAAATTTTAAAGAATAAAATAAAATTTATTTAATTAAATAACTTTATGAATCATTTCGATAAAAATTCCAAGCAAGCACAACCTCTAGTACACCATCACTTCAGACCTGCTCACACAATCAAACATCATGTGCTTCTTGCTATTCTACTATCAACAGTGCACAGAAATATTTAGCGTAGGTGCCGTAGTTAGTGTCATCTTTCATTAATTTCATCAATGAACGTTTGTAAAAATATTTATCATACATCACATTATTTCGTTGATGTAAATTTTTTAAAAACTTCATTCCTATTATTTGATTTCAGTTCCTGTTTTCAAAATAACTTGTTCCAGTTTTTTAAAGCACGTGCTTGCTACTTAATTCAAAAATAACAGCAAGGAGACTCAATGAAAAATGTTTCAAATAGATGTTCTTCAAATCAGATTTCATTCGAATAAAAACTCAAAGATGTACAACAAAACAGTCTTGACAATTTATATTTTATTCAAAAATTGCATTTAAACCTTGTTTTAAAATAAATTTTAAAAACGAAATAAAATTAAAAACGAAAATTTTATGGCAAGTGATTGTGATTCATTTTTTTACGTCTATATCTTTTATGTCTGTATCAGAAAATGAAAGTTATTCATTCAAGAATATTTTTAAAAGTTAATTGATTCAAATTGTTAAGAAAATTTATGTGTTATGTTTGTGGAACCCAATAAGAATGAGTTTCATTATTTAAATGAACATTAACGATAATTTTTTGTTGAAACTTCCAACAGAGCTTTCCTATATTGGACAGAAAACGTACATGCTTTGCACATTTTATTACATGAGTGCGAAAAAATTTAACTCAAACTTTCCCTAACGCTAACAAAAAAAAAGTTCCTATGTAATGTTTTCATATTTAATGTTAACTGTTTTGTAGTTTCATATTTGATTTTTTCATTTTTTTGTAATCATTTTCATGGAAGCAGACATTAGGGTGGAGAGTTCTGCAAACAAATTTGAAAGCATGCTAACAAGGTTTGTTGATTTGGAGAGCTGACTGACTACAACTTTTTCTCAATTTCATATCATATTCGTCTTTTTAATTTTTTTGTTTACATTCACCGTGTACAATTTATAAAAAATCTAGCAAAATTGAAAAAAAAAACATTAAAAAGTGTTCACATTCCAAACTTATCAAAACTAAAATTTTAAAATAATCATTATTGCATATTGTTTTAAAGATAATAAGAAATAATAAAACTCCGAGCCATCTCTTCATCTAGCAAGCAAACACAAACATACAAGGATCAAATATTCCTGTCAATATTATCATCAACTAAATACTCAGTGTCATTTTGTTATTGTAGAGACTTACGTTGCCTAACTCAAACTCCAGTAAGCTTTATATCTGACTCAATATGTCCGGTCATATAATTGCAGTCTGTTCCGGGTGCATTTTAAAACATGGTACCTACGTAAAATCATACTGACCAGCTAGTTTCGAAACGATGCGTTAGATTTCATTGTAATTTTAGCTTCGCGCAATGAGCAGAAAATACATTCAACAATTGAAGGACTCCCAAATTAGTTATGAACATTTTTTATAACTTATAAAAATCTCTTTCACATCCCATCAGCCAGATTACAATTTGTAAAAATTTGAAATGATTCCGTCGAGCTGTTCAATCAATCAATCAATCAATCAATCAATCAATCAATCAATCAATCAATCAATCAATCAATCAATCAATCAATCAATCAATCAATCAATCAATCAATCAATCAATCAATCAATCAATCAATCACAATCAATCAATTACTTTGTAAAGCGTTATTTCCGCTATGTTCAACAGCGCTCCTCAGGGAATTTTGCAAACAGATGAATCTTGAGATCCGCTCGAACTTCGCAAGTGATGGAGAAGTAGTCAGAGAAGGAATCAGAGAGTTCCAGAGAAACGGGCCAAAAAGTAAAGTCAGATTTAGCAAGAGTGTTTAACACGATTTAAGAAGAAGTGAAAGCAAGAAGACGATCGTAAACGGAGGGGTTTAGGTTTAATTAATGTGTCTGATAAGTAAGTACTTAGGAAATAATTTAGATTAAGACTTATAAATTAATGTGCAAATTGTAAAATTTTTTCTATTTTTATAGGTAGCCAGTGCAAGAGAACAAGATGTGAAGATATATGATAAAATAAAGGGGCGAGCAACTAGACGAGTGGCAAAGTTGAAAGTTTTACTTAAAGGATAGAAGGTAGAATCAGGATGACCATAGTTGCAATAATCAATCCTAGATAAACTGATGAAATAACAAAAATGGAGAAGAGTAGGATCGTCAAAAAAGGGCAAAAGTATTTTCATTCTACGTAGATGAAAATAAGATTTTAGCAACACTATTAATCTGAAAAGAAAGAGACATGCTAGAATCAAAGATAAAGCCTGGACTACGAAACTTGTGAGAAACATCAAGAGTTTTAGATACAAGTAAGATAATAGAAGGAATAGTAATAGAACGTTTAGATTTATTAAAACAAATTAATTCAAACTTAGAAGTATTAAGTTTAAGACACATAGTGTCAGACCAAGCCTTAATAGAAGAAAAACATAAGAAATGATTCTGTAAAACACTATTGAGATTAGATGGAGGAGTTAGAAGTAGCATTATTAAGGATCCCAGAAAAGACAAGAGTCAGTAACATTAAATGGATGATCCAGCAGTCCCAAGACAATCGTATGATGGACAATAATATGAAGGAAAGTCAAGAGCAAGAAGAAGAGTAAGGTTACTACTATTGTCACTAGGGAAGTAGGTAGGTACGTTATGACGTCAGTTGAATTCAATCAACAAATTCTTCTTTCTTTCTCGTGCCTTATCTCTTCAGGACATTGGCGACCATCGACCTCCTCAAAACCCGATCTTTAACACTTTATAGTAGTTGAAATGTGGTCATATTCAACCGGTGACCCAAGGACTTCACGAATGTTATTCTTTGTTGACAGCGATCTCTTTTCCCTGCCATCTTTCCAGTAGTTGTTAGATTTTCCATGATTTTCTTTCGCATGATGTGACCATCATCAAATTATAAATAAAATAATGATAATAATTTTGTTGCTTATTAAAAAATTTTTTAGGCAGAAGTTTTTAAAGAAGGGGAATACCCTGTTAAATGGTTTTTAGCAAATTTGCTGATTGAATGATTGGTTGGTTAACTGATGATTCAGTGATTGATTCATCAATTGATTGATTCAAGCAGTTATTTTTTGATGACACACCTAGATTAAATTGGTATTATAAATAACAGCTCGAATATAAATATAATAGTACCAGGATAATTTGAGTTTATTTCGTATAAATTCGAGACTTGATTTCAAAGATGGTTAGGTATAGTTTTCTATATGAGCTCAAATTTTTAAAAAGTATTGTAAATATTTTGCATTCTATGCTACTTTTGGATGAATCGGAAGAAGAAGACATTTTTCCAATTTAATTATTTACAAGCCTACAAATATTTTGGTGTGATTAACGTATGATATTATCGTTTTCTGATGAGTTTGATATTTTGATGAATTTTTGAAGATTTCCAAAAGAAGACCGTCAGGCGCACGCAACCATGTAGCACGTTGAAGCTCATTGTGCCACATTTTATACGCGCATTAATTACCCTATCATATTTTTCTCGAACTTTTTCAAGAATCTCTTAGCCCAGATGTAGTTGAAAATATAATTTCAACAAATTAATAGATAAAGAGTTTCAAACTAACAATCTTATTATAAAAATGGTTTAATGCAGCTTTGTTTTTGGTGTCAAAATACAGTCTACAAGTCAACGTTCAAGTCAATTTGTAAAGTTCAATTCCTAAGTGTAACAAAGTTTTTGTGTGGAATAAATCATAAAAATTTTGTAATTTGTAGAATTGAATAACAAGAATTACTTAATGGACAAGACGTCATATAATTTATACTGCAGTTGACATTCAATTATGACTTTTCTCAGCAGTTTGCCATCAAAGAATGAGGGCCAGGATCTGATATTTTGTTCAAGGCCCGCTGGATGCTGCCTACTCGTCCAATCATGCTTGCTAATCATGTCCACATAACTTCATTCAGTAAATAATCTTTTTTTATAGATTCAAAATATTAATAAAAATCGGTATTTAATATCAAAAATTAAAAAAAATGAATCTTATTGCAACACGTTTCAATAACGCAAACATGAACCATTTCGAGAAAGTGATTAATTCTGAAATTGCATTTTTTTTCAGTCGCTAGAGCTTCGATCTGCACGTCGGTTGTAAATTTTTATAACTTGTAAAGCAGCAGAGGTCGCATGCGAAGTTGTGTACCTTGGTTCTGTGTGCAAAATGAATCCTTAGTGATCCGCCAACATGTGCACGGTCGAAGTTGTTTTATTAGGATAGGTAGAACAAAATTTAACAGGCAACTATAAATTGGGTAAGAGAGTGCTAGATTGATATAAAAACGACTGAGATTTAAAGACAAAAAACATTTTTAATCGTTGAAAGTTCGCTGCACTAAATGCATCTATACTAAAAAATGATAAAATTTTATTATACTAAAAATGTATTATACAAATTGTTTAGTGGAATTTATGACAGCCACAGCCAAATTACAGGGAGTGATTGATGTACAGAATTCCTAACAATCAGTAGTCTTCCCAGCAGAGAAGTCAAAATATGGGCAGAAATATACTGTCGGATCTTGGGGGAGAGCAGTTTGTTAATAAAAGTCAGGAAATTTGTTTAATGTGTTAAAATCGACCAAAAATTGAACGTGATAAACAAAAAAAATTGTCACTCAGACACACTACAACAAATCTTGCCCTTTTCCTCCTCTCCGTGAAAATGTTGGCTTGTATGTGAAAATTTGAAATTTTCAATGTGTAAATTTGAAATTTTCAAATTTTAGGCCACCCGTCACAGTTGTCTGGATACACCACCTTCGAAGCTCCCTTTTGCTTCAATTGTGGTTCATAATTATTTGAATTCAACCTGACGGAAAACATGCAAAACCATCAACAGAGGCATGGGAAACTAACAAAAACAGAACCGCAATAACCAACTTTTAAAATTTTTTGTTGTTCGTGTGGGATGGAGAGAAGGAGCGAGTTGTTAAGAAAGTCGAACACCCAACCAACGACAAACTTTAATGCTTCAGTGACACCATACTATTCGATGATGATGATGATGATGGTGATGATGATGGTGGTGGTGATGATGATGGTGGTGGGGGTGGTGATGGTGGTGATGTTGACAATGATGTCAATACTTCTGTTTCACTCATTTGAAATTTTATAATTTGCAAGTGAGTAAAATTTCTAAAGTATCTCCTTAACTTAAAGCGAAATTAAAAACTTAAACGTTAACATTCTCCAGCATTGGAGTCATCTTTTTGTTTTTAAAGTGGTTGATATTATTTCATAGCTATGACAACGTCGTACTAACTAGTAATACTAACTACTAATACACTAATAATACGTACTACTTAGTAATACTAACTACTAATACTACGTACTAACTAGTAATACTAACCACTAACTACTAATACTACGTACTAACTAGTAATACTAACTACTAACTACTAATACTACGTACTAACTAGTAATACTAACCACTAACTACTAATACTACGTACTAACTAGTAATACTAACCACTAACTACTAATACTACGTACTAACTAGTAATACTAACCACTAACTACTAATACTACGTACTAACTAGTAATACTAACCACTAACTACTAATACTACGTACTAACTAGTAATACTAACTACTAACTACTAATACTACGTACTAACTAGTAATACTAACGTACTAAGCTCACTTATACAAGTTTTTTCAGTCGGCGGTCAGTGGAAGTGGAGATCAATTAGAAAAACGAAATGATACTGAAGATAAGTTAGTCGATGCGTTTTTCATTAGTGCAAGACATTTCTTTGAAAAATTGATTTGGCTAAACTTTCGCATACTAATAATATTGCTGTCTATCTATAGGTCCAGTTTAGCATGTATCGAAGAGAGTTCATTCGCGGTTGTAGAATCTAAGACTGAGACAAGTTATAAATCAAATGTCTCAGATGATGATGGGTTTGTTTGTCTTTTTTAAAAATCTAAATAAGAAATAATGAAACATTTTGGTTAAATTACTTCACCTGAATAAATATCTTTCTTGTACAGCACCTCCATGGAGATATTAACAAAATTGTCCGATGAATGTCTCTCAAAAAATGTGGAGCAATGTTTCCGTTTATCTGATGACCCTGCTTTATGGCAAGTAAATAATGAGACGCGCGATTTTGTGGTCAAATATGGACTTTAGTAAATCCAAAAAGAAGTACAGTGATGGCAAAATACGCAGCCTCACACAAAGTATGTTTGACTATACTCTTATTAACGGAGAAAAAATGAGGCGAGAATGTCTTGTTTATTTAGAGACTGCGTACATGCTTGCAAAACGAGAGGTCGTGCTATAGGTCAAATAAACTCGCAGTTAAATGATCAATTGGAAACTGAGATAAATTACTGGAAATTGACTCTTGTTCGCGTGATAGAAGTTGTGAAGACATTGGTTTCAAGAGGACTACCTTTGCGTGGACACGTTGAAAAATTTGGAAATTCTGAAAGTGGGAACTACATGATGCTGCTTGAACTTATTGCTAAATTTGATTCTTTTATGAATACTGAACTGTTGCATTTAAAGTCTCATTTGGGTACCTTAGACCAAAATGCAGTTCCATACACTCCAATTGATTTGTGTAAATGGATAAGATTGAATGACTTGCAGTGTGTATATCCAAATGTAGACATTGCACTTCGGATGTACACTTGTACTCCTGCTACAAACTGTTCGGCCGAGCGAACATTTTCTTGTTTAAAGCGCGTTGAAAACTATTTGCGTTCGACAATGTCCGAAGAAAGGTTAAATTATCTTGCAATTCTATGCATCGAAAAAACAATTTTACAAGATTTAGACATTAATTTCGTTATTGATGAATTTGCGCGCAGGAAGGCACGTCGTTAAGTTTTGAAATAACTTTTATAATCTGCAATGAAAGAAAATTTATTTTTTAAAATTGATAATATTACATTACATGAATGTTATTAAAGAATGTACTCAATAAAATTTTTTTTTAAATATTGCGTTTATATGAATTTAATTTCTAAATTTATTATAAAATTTAAAATTGGGGCGGCAAACCACGAGTGCCTCTAGGCGGCAAAAAGGTTAATCCGCCACTGCTCAGGAAGGAATGCTTCCATTGACGTGTTGAACATTGTCCAATTACAAACATTTGTACAATGTGCACACATTAAAGACTCAAGAAATAATGAAACGACTTAATTACAGATAAAAACTAGGAAGTTGCATAATGCTACGTCAGGGTCTCCACATCTCGACACAGGAATCAAGCAATTAACTTTTTATACCTTGACTTATCATCATTCCGATTAGGCCTGTAGTAAATTGTATCTTGATGATGATGAGAAATAGAATAACCATTTCTAAATGATCATCATTAAAAGTATTTTCATATTTTTTGTTCTGCTGTTTACAATACTAAACTCATCCAATATTTTGAAATGTTTCGATGTCTCGAAGTTACTCACCTGCGTGAACCACTAAATTATTACAAAGATTTTTGCCAAAACTATTTTTAGTGTAAAAATTTTTCAAATTTTAGAACTTGTTCAATAAATAAATTGAAATGGAAATGCGCTGTTAAATAATGAACTTTTTAAAATTTTCCATTGAGTTACGAAAGAACGTGAAATAGATTGAAAGACAGCTGAAGGTTAATGCTTCGCGCTCTTTCTATAGATTAATCGTAGTTGAAACTGAACATAAATTGAGGAAGTTGAAGGGGATGTATAAGCGAGAGGCCAAATATTATTAATTACATTGGTAATAATGATGCGGCCCATTGCGTAAGACGATGGGCCGTGGAGTGGACGAAGTGCGTAATGAGGTGGGCCTCCCCTCCCATTCAATACATGTCTTTCAGTAATTATTAGCTGGCTGGGTGGCACTGCCTCATTGTCAAGATGTCCACGGATCCACTCGATGATATGATATGTCGTTGCGCAACCGCGTTACTGCTGCATGTTGCATGTTGTGTTCGTGTGCTGTGGTGTTTTTTGAAGGCTGTTGTTTGTTTTGTCTACATTGTTCCACTGGGGTTACTGCATGATGTTTGATAAAAAGGAAGCATTTTCAAAAAAAGCAGAGAAACTTGAAACAAAGAAATATGTTTCAAGAAGCTGAATTGAAACTTTTTTAAACGTTTCAGATTTGGTTGCTTCTTTGAACAAAATGTTCCGGCATTTAAATAATTATTTCATTTTCGACGATCAATTTCATTTAACAACTTTTCAAATTTGGCATAATTTCATATTATATGATCAGTATGGTTATGATGGGATAGAGTTGATTGGGAGTTAAAAGTTTTGTTAGCATTGGGTGTGTGTGTATGTGTGTGTGTGTGTGTGTGTGTGTGTGTGTGTGTGTGTGTGTGTGTGTGTGTCAGGGTTTACACTTCCACGTCATGTCGTTCCATCAAATATGAAGAGGAAAGTATTGTATTGTCTGACTGCTGGATGTTGTTATTGATGTTATGTTGGTGTGTTGTGTTGTAATGCTATGTTGATGTATTGTCGTGTTCATGTAACACTGAGACGACTCAGTTATGAAGCATTATGAAGCATTGCGTTGCGTTTGTTGAATGTTATTGTGGTGTTAGTCCGGTTCTTCATCATTATGTGTTAAGTTGTGTTGTGTGGAGTTGTGTGTGTTGTGTGGAGTTGTGTGTGTTGTGTAGAGTTGTGTGTGTGTTGTATGGAGTTGTGTGTGTTGTGTGTGTTATGTAAAGTTGTGTGGAGTCGTGTGTGTTGTGTGGAGTTATGTGTGTGGGTTGTATAGAGATGTGTATGTTGTGTGTGTTATGTGGGGTTGTGTGGAGTTGTGTGTGTTGTGTGGAGTTGTGTGTGTAGTGTGGAGTTGTGTCTTTTGACGCCAAATACATGGCGTAATAGCCGTGTCAACCCAATATGCTGGAGATGCGTATTGACATATCATATTATCTCTTCAAAAAAGCTTGTGTGAACCTGTTGCAACATAAGATTTCAACCAAGTCACAAATTGACACTTCTGCTCAGTTTAACTTCTTTCTGACAATTTCTCTTTCACTTTAACTTTTTAGATTTATACATCAAAAAAATTAAAATTAGAATTCCACAGAAACAATTACTTTTTATCTCTAAAAAAACCCAAAAAATCATCCTTTTTTAAATATTTAAACTATTTATATTTTGCTTCAACTCTGAACCTTCCTTAAAACCAAAACGTTTTAAATTAGTGCCAAAAATGGACAACACAAAATTATTTAAAAATGATTGCTCAGCATTAATGTTTTAACCATCTGTTCGTTAGTTCACTTTTTTCGTCGTTTTAGCTTGTTTCCCGGCTATGCCACTGGAGTTTGTCAATGTCTTTGTTTATATACTCTTTATGATGTCGATATCGATAAAATATTTTAACATATCTTGGATATGATCTTGGTTGACAAATATTTCTGATAAATTATCTGGAAAAGGGTATTTGAATCTGTATTGATTAGGATTTCTGCAATCTGTCAGCATGTGTTGAATTGGTGGTGTAGTTTTTTATATTGATCACAAATTGGTGGTGGTTTCTCTCCTAAATCCGTTGGAGTGTCATTTTTTGTGCCCAATTTTTATTCTATTTAATTTAACTTGGAAATTTCTATTGAACCTGGAAAATTCTTTTGGTTTTTAGTTTAAAAAAATGTAGTTGAAATTAAATTGTTATTATTCAAAATTTTTCTGTCTTTCATTTTAATTTGCACTAATAATAATTAATGAGTTTTTTTGTTTGTACTGCTGTATGGCTAATAATGTCTTAATCAGAAAATATTTATCGATTTAAACTGAACATTGTTGGTTTATTTTCAAGATAGTAATCAATCACTAATTACAATTACATCCACACTAAACGATCACATACGCAATCACACACACATGCAATCACACACACACACACACACGCAAACAATCACACACGTAATCACACGCATACAATGTTTACACTTTGCAGGAATGTATTCATGCATTCCTGTTTATTTCATTTAAGAGCAACAAAACAACACTTGTGAGTTTTTACGGTTGATCAGCTTTCTCTGTACAAGGCGGCATAATGCCTGTCTAATTGCGCTACAAGTGTCTTCTTATTATCATACATTTTCCGTCATCAGTTTATATATATATATATATATATAGAGAGAGAGAGAGAGAGAGACAAGGGAAGACAGAGAAACAAAATGAAAGAGAGGGAGATAGTGTGTGTGCGTGAGAGAGAGATGGAGAGAGAGAAAGTAAAACAAAGAAAGGAAAGAGAGGCATCAATATTAGCCACAGCCACATTTAATCGCGCCCATATTATGAATGTTATAATGTTTTATTTCATTTTGTTTAAAGCCTGTGAGGTTTCTTGCAAATGTTGGATTCGAATTCGAAACGCTTTTGAGCAAAAATATTTCTACCCACGAACATAAAAATTTGTTTCATCTGTAACTACGGTGATTGACCGCAAACAAAGAAACCAAGCAAATTGGAAGGTGATCTCTTACAGGCTGTTGAATCGCACTGTGTTAAATTTTTAAATTTCTGTTTTGATGTCAAAGAATCATGCAGCCAGACAGCCAACAACAAAGAAACAAATGGGATAAAATAATTGTGAAACAACGGAGTTATGGTAGAATTTCAGCTAAACAACTTAACTCACGCAATGACATTCATAACATACCATAACATAACATACCATAACATAACGTAAGAGCAAACACAGCGGGAGCCATCGGGATAAGCACACTAGAGCATTGATGACAACCAACTGACACATGTTTTCATAACCATCATCAGGGGAATGGATCGGCGATAAACTATCATCACTCGCGAGCAGTTTGTTGGCGTACTAACCTCGTTGCTTGTCGGATGTCACTGCATCTCCTTATCACTATTCAACTAACTGCACTTCGGAATGCATGTTGTTGTTGTTGTTGTTGCTGCTGTTGTTATTTTTGTTGTTGTTGTTGTGTTGTTGTTATTTTTGTTGTTTTTGTTGTTGACAGCAGTTTGTTAGTTCAAGCGAAAGATGACGATACCGTTTGAAACAAAAAAAAAAAAAAATATTTTATTGTTTGTTGATAAAAATAAAAAGTTGCAAACATTTTTGTAAATTAGATTTTAATGATTTTTTTTAAGTTTTGCCCGGCTGAATGCTGTATAACAAAATTTAACAGATTGAAAATTATGGTGCAAAAAATGAGTAAACAAAAAATCAAATTTATATAAAAAAAAACAGTGGACAAATAAAATTTAAATCTTGGCAAAATGCATGGAATCTGATGAATAAATTAAAAAAAAAACAACAAAATATGTTTAAGGCCACGAATAAATAATTTAAAATTAACTAAATTGTGAATAAAATATGATAAAAAAACTAAATTGCAAAAATCTTGGCACGCTAAAAGTCGGTAAGCCACTAAAGGTATGTTTCGATACTCGACAAATATCAATGATGCATCTGAATAAACAAGAACTTCTATACAATATAATTAATTGAAACCTTTCAATTTAGATGTCCAAGCAAGAAAGTGACATTGCTGATGTTTACAATAACTTCTACCCATTAACAAACGCACGTGTTGGTGTCTGTGACCTTTGTATCAATTTAAAATAATAATTTAAAAAGCTATATAATCACAAAATTTAAAAACTATTACTTTAGGAACACTGCTTACTATTCAATCAAGGAAAATGAATTATCGAAATAATAAAATAAATGATGAAATAAAATAAAATGAGCTAAAATTAATAAAAGTTGTGGTCTAGTTTGCTTGTCATTCAATACGAAGGAGGCCTAAATAGAAGATGTTAGTTTTTCAAATAGAGACTCAACCAGCAGGGATTTTTTCACAATGTATTGAATTTGATGATGACAAAACTACATTATCAAATTGTTTCTAAAGTGTTCAGACCAAACTAAATTGACCAGCGATAAATTAAAAATAAAATAAATTAATTAATTAATTAAATAAATTTAAAATAAATTAACTTAAAATAAAATAAATTATATTATAAAATCCGAATGTAAAAATTTCGAAAGTGTTTGTTAAAAGGTTAAAGCTATTTTAATAATTCTTTAGGCTCAATTGAAGGATTTGGTTATATTTGTCAATTTTAAATTCTTTCCATAATAATAATAACAATGAAATAGTAAGATAAGGGGATGGTTTGCCAGAAATGGAATCTTGTTATTGTAAAGTTGTTGGGTTGAAGCGTAATCAATGTTGTAGAAACGTTCCACCTGAATCAATTGGCGAAGCAATGAAACCATCAATTGTAAATACCACATCAGTTACACTCGTATTTATCCAATGTGAAAGACTTTTTAATGAGTGTGTGTATGTGTGTGTAAATGTGTGTTCGTGTATGTCTATGAACGTTTTTGTGTGTGTATATGTGTGTATGTGTATTTGTTTGCGTGCCTGTGTGTGTGTACATATATCTACTTTTATAAAGACTTTTAAACGCATATTCTAAAATAAATTATTCCAACTTTCCCTGCAATTCATATAAATTGTCACATAAAATATTGGAAACCACACAATTAAATCCGAAATACATTTAAATAAGATTTCAACTATGTAATTATTTGATACTGTTTGATACCGATGTTGATACATTGAAGAAACGGCATGTTCGGCACATACCATATCATTTTATCATTGAGATAAACGTGATCTTTAGATGATACCATATCATCCTATCATCATTAGGTGATACTATATAATCGGGGTGTCATTATTCTATCTCGCGATTTTATTCGCACCACGGTCATTGTAGGTAATTATCCTCATTACATCCCATGACGTCATCTTTATATCTTATACCATCATCATCATCGTCATAATCATCATCATCGTCATCATCATCGTTCGCATCAGGGTTATCGTGAATTACGTGATATCATATGATATCATCTTCATATCTCCACATAAACATCATCATCATTGAATATATCACTACCATCATATTTTTTCATCATCGTCATCAGTTTCGCAATCACAAGGTTGTTATTTATTTGAAGATTAATGATATTAATTTAATAATTTTGATGTAAGTTATACATATATATATATATATGTGTGTGTGTGTGTGTGTGTGTGTGTGTGGTGTGTATTCGTGTATATGCGTGTATATGTTTTCCAGTATACATACATACATACATACATACATGCATGAATCTATTTCAATTGTTACAAAACGTCAAACAAAAAGAAACCACAAAGTCGTCTTAAGGAATCTCAACCGAACATACATTAAGTTGTCCCACTGACGTATGCTGAGTAAATAAAAATAGAGATGTCGAGAAGAAAGAGAGAAAGTGGGAGATGTTGAGAAAGTGCTTGAGAGATTTTGCGTGCTTTTAACGCAAGTTAAAACAGACGCTTACAGAACGCACATGACTACATGACCACACAGGCACGCACAACCACACGCACAAAAACTGAAAACCACACAACGAACACACAAGCGTATTCAGCGTGCACAATAAACATGCTCACACACACACACGCACACATGCATTCATGCACAATGTAAACTGACCAGGTTAAACGATGTTCCCTGGACAATTGAATTGATATTAAATAGAAATGAAGTTGCGCAGACACAAATTAATGTACTGCACAACTCCTGCCTAGGTTGTTGTCGAGTTGTTGCTTGGTGTGTTGCGTTATTTTGTTGTTGGGATGTGGCTGACTGTGGTTGTCTGTGGCTGGCGGTGGTGTTGTTTTTTGTGTTGTGTTGCTTGTTTTTGTTTTTGTTGTTGATCTCCGTGTGAAGTTGCTATTTGTTTCTTGTGCTACACAGACGACAACATTGTTTGCCTGCGAGTTGAGCACCCTGTAGGTGGAATGTGGTGGTGATGATGACGTGGAAGACGACGAAGATGGTCTGATGAGGAAGTGAAGAATGATAACGACGACACCATGGTGTGAGATGTGAGGATGCAGCCAGGATTTGTTTGGGGAAGCTCTCCGGAATGTTATTCACGTAAGGTAACAGAAGTTTTATGAACATTAATCGGATATCTAAAATTTTTCAATTACAACAAGCAAACCACAAAACAAAAAGCTAAACAACTAGATATATAAATTTACACAAAATGCTTTATGACGTAATTGTTTCAGAATGTTATAGTTGATCAAGTTGCAGGATGCAGTTTCAATCCTAGTGGTGGCAGTTTCAATCCTGGTGAGATTGCACTTTCAATCCCGGTGGTTGCGGGAGGTTGCAGTTTCAATTTTGGTGGTTGCCGAATTCTCATTCCGATGGCTTCAAATTAACGCTGCTTATGTTCTCGTATATGTTGGATGAATGGATGGATGGATGGATTAGATAGATATAGAGGAACAGTGTGACCAATTGAAGCTTGGTAATATTGAAATGTCTATCGGATCAGCTCACTATGAGAATGATGATGATGATGATGGTGGGGATGATGATGAAGATGATGATGATGGTGGTGGAAATGATGATGAAAAATTTGGTGACAAGTTCAAAAATAATTATAACAATCAGCTTTTTAGCTGTTGTACGTTCACGTTACACATTTATCGCACACAAACAACAGCACGCCAATAGAATGCTCTCACATACAAACACACCACACACACACACACACACACACACACACACACACACACACACACACAGAGAGAGAGAGACAAACCCAATGACACATACACATTCGCGCACACACACACGCACACATACATGCATACACACTCACATACACATGCGTGCACACATATATGCACGCACGCACACACGCACACATAGTTTCTTAGGATACCAACAAGACACCTCAGACCGCGGTGAAAGTTATACATTAACGATGTTGAATCTAAGACCTCCAGGATGTTGCGTAACGCTACAGTGCAACTCGGCACCACCAGCAATAGTAACAATTAACAACGAGAATTAAATGCGAAAATTGAATACCAGTCGTAATGCGTGCGAGTGAAGAGAGTAAGGTAACAAACAAGTTGTTGAACAATTGAAATCAATGATGCTGTCTGGCCAGCTAACAAACTGACCGCTGAATTCTAACAACACTAATCTATTTCTATCTGTTTGTCTGTTTGCGTCCGCATGCATGTTTGTGTGTTTGTTTGTGTGTGCGTGTTGGCATGTTTTTGAGTAAATGGTGTCTCTTTTGAAACTTAATTTTAAGGTAATTTTTAATGAATTTTCTCAAAAAAACATTGTTCGAAATGAAACCACGAACGTGTGCGGGTATTTTGAAACGCATTTTAATGAGAATTGAAAGCCTTTCCACTCAAACTCTTCAGCAGTCGGCAACTGACTTCCAGATCATCCTGGGGTACCTCAGAGTGTTGTATGGAAGACAGCACACAAACACATTAACTGATCTTAAACGAATTCTCGCCTTCTCATTGGCTGATAAGATGCACTAGCTCCACCTACTCCGGAGATATAACAATGTCTTTTATATGGTTCTGCTTATATTAATTTCATTATGATTAATTTTCATCAAATTTCAATTGAATGTTTTTGAATCATTGTGAGTTAACCTTCCACTTTTTGTAACGGTCAAAAATCAAACGAACAGGAATTAAATTTCTTAGCAATGGATGCATGCATTTTAATGCCCAGACAACTGAACTTGATGCTGTTACCAAGCAACCAGCAACAACAACGTCAACAACAACATCAACAACTACAACAACAACTGCAACAACAAAAACAACGAAACATTTTTGAAATGGGGTTCAGCGTTTGGGCAAGATGTCACCTTGAACCTGGTTTCACCTTCCACTCCGACGATGGTGAGGTCATGTTGGAGAGGTTGGAGTTGTACGGGCAGCTGGAACTTGATGACGTTTGTATAATTTTAATTTCTAATTTTTAACTCTCACTCAGTGGATAGCAATGATTAAATCTTGTCTGCAATGTATAGATAGTAATTAGTCGAAAAGTTGATGAAACCTTTCAAAAAAATCTGGTTCAATTTTTAAAATTGTTTCAAATCAAATTTTATTACAAAGAACGTTGAATTCCAATTCACATTCTTTTATTTATTCATACTTATAGTTAATAAGTCACTTTTAAATTTGAAGGTCTAAACCTGGATCTTATAAGCAACTAATGAGTTTTTGCATTCGGGTTCATTCATTTTCGATGTTTTTTACTGTTTGTATGTAATTTCTATTTAACTATTTCGATCAATTTCTCTTCAATTTGCACTCATTTTTACGAGTTATTGATTAATTGATTGATTGATTGATTGATTGATTGATTGATTGATTGATTGATTGATTGATTGATTGATTGATTGATTGATTGATTGATTGATTGATTGATTGATTGATTGAATGGGTTGATCTCAGTTGAAATATAAATTATGCTGGTTGGGTGGCTGGCTTCTTCTGGCTTGAAAGATTTAAAGGTAGGAATTGTTTTGAATGATATCTCATTGGAAGGAGCAAGCACTGAATAATGCGTGGGAGGTAAGAGAAGGAATGAAGGAGGAATGGGGAAGTCAGTTAATGAAAGAAAGCAAGCATTAGATGGAATAAATTAATAAATGAATGGATGATTGATTGATTGATTGAATGAATGGGCGAACGAATAAATGAATGAACGAACGAATGGGTGAATGAATGAATGAATAAACGAGTCAAAGAATGAATGAATAAACGAGTCAAAGAATGAATGAATTAATTAATTAAACAAACTAACAAATAAATAGAAAAAAGGAAGTGTAAAGTAAGTAAAAGAAAGTGAATTAATGGATAGATTATTGAATGAATAAATGAATGAATGAATGAATGAATGAATGAATGCAAGTAAATAAGCGATTGAATGAAAAAAAACAAACAAATGAATGAATGAATGAAAAGCAAGAAAACAAATGAATGAAAAAAGCAAGTGAATTGATCAAAGGAATCCAACAGATTCTCACTGCGTAACATTAACGTAAACACGTGCACCGTTCCATCATCTGTCCGTTTGTTACCTGCCTGCTACTGAAGCTGCTACTCGATGCTGGTGCTACTGCTGCAAACTTCTGTGCTGCATCGTCCTTATTGTTTATTATCATCTTTATTTCAGCATCATTCTCTCCAATCCTAAATTTGTTTGTATACAATTTTTCATATCATGAGTAACTACTTTTGTAACATATTTCATGACCATTAACTATTATCTAGACTATCAACAGGTCAAACATCCAACCAACCAACCAACTACAGTCTGCAACAAACAAGTTACTTAGAAACACATACATTGAGAATCATCTCATACAAACATACAACCAAACAAGCATATATACAAATTAATATATATGTATATCATACAAACAAACAAAAAACTCACAAATAACCCCTCACAAATAACAACCCCTCACAAACAAACACACACAGAGACAACACACAAACACACACGCAGACAACACACAAACATACACGCAGACAACACACAACAAACATTACCCAGTCATAAATATGATGCATCTCATTTAAACTTTCAATTAACAGCTCTGCATTTCATTTGCACGAACAACATACGCGTCATTATCGAGCACGAACAAAGTGCTTAAATACGCAAACTTTCACGCACGCACAAATTCGCACAGCACAAATTATTTATACTCGTCTATGAACTTATACACGTGCATTAATTGATACTTTGGTCTACCTGCTTATGCACATAAGAGTGATGGTAGCAACTGATTCCACAGTTTCAGGTTGCTCCAACGTTCAAAAAAAATGTTTATAAAATGTCAACATTCACAAAAAGTTGTTATTTGGAGCCGTTTTGATAATTTAGTCCGCCCGTTTCAACAGCCATCTGTTGAGTTACTAACTAGAATCAATTCACATGCACTTCAATTTGACTCACGCACATCACATTCACGCACATGCAGTTTCAAGCTGGTTGGGTAGGAGCTGGTTGGGTAGCCACAGTTCAAACAAAAACATTCTCACAAATTAAACACCCGCAATTTTTCCTAAAAATAAACGTGGGGTCAGCATTTATACAGTGCGGTGTTGTGTGGGGTGGTGTATTGTGTAGTGAAATATAGATTTAGTGTAGTAAAATGAATTTTAACAATTACTTTTTTGAATTATTAAAAATGATTTTAATGTTATAATATTAATAACAAAAGTCTTCAAGATAGTTTGAGAGTTGAAGTTTTGTTTTCGTCTTGCAATTTTGATTTCAAAGTCATTTCAAGTCATTTTTTTCTCGTCTACATTTTACAAAAAAATTTTCACTCACTTCAACATAAAGCAAAACACAAGCACTTATAGCACACAAAATAAGCACAAAATGTAGAAACAATGAACACACGCAAGAACTAAGAACCACACAACTGACCAACCATCTAACGAACGAACAACGCCAATACACGCAGTGCCATGGGACCTCTGTATCAGTTTGATAACTAACGAGATGAAGATGAAAGGCGTACAAAACATTAATTGGCCGAATCGAATCAACTGCCCGTCACAACCTTCACATTTCAATGCTTGCAAGCCTCTCGCCTCTCTGCATGTCTTTGCCGGTCTGCATGCGTCCTGCTGGGTGGATGCGTGTTTCGCTTTTAATGCACGTACAAGGAGTAGTTTGATCGGGTGTAGACAATTTGTGCACATCAAAAATGTCCATCAACTCGTGTACGCCAAATGTACGCACGTCTGCAAACTTTCGCACCGTTGCAATTCTACCCGCTTAAAACATGTTTTAAGGAACAGCCAAGTAGATCGCTATCAGAATGTTAAGGGAAGTATTGTCTTGAGTAAGAAGATTGAATGATCCTAAGTATTTATTTTTTATTTTCTTTCAATATTCATTTTTACAATTTAGTAAGAAGAACACTAATTCTTGAACGCAGGTAAGAAGCAGGTTCGGAGGAGTTGACACATTGGTGAGGGTGGGTGGTCTGCTTGTGAGGCATTGCAACTGGGTTCGATTCCTGCGTGCGACCGATGACGTCAGTCAGATGAACATGCTGGCCAGGTTGGTCAACAATGTTCCCACTTTCGAAATTGTTCGAAAAGTTTTTCCAAACGATGAACTCAAAGTTTATTTTGAGCTTAAAAAATGCAGCAGACGTGTTGATGTAGGCGCCCAGTTATTAAACCAACACACCAACAGAGCAATCTTCAACTCCCACAATTCAAGTCCACTTGCTGAAAACTCATATCCACGGGCAGAGAAACACATCACGAGCCTCAACGAACCACCGCGTTCATACGAACTAGACGATATACATCAGGGCACGAATTTCAACAGTCTCAGCTTTTGTAGGAGACCTCAGTTTGAATTTATACAATTTCCTTCAAAAGACAACACTTTTCGTCGCGGTTCCTTAGACTTCGACACAACGCAGACATACAGCCTAATAAACAACTCGACGAGACATGCATCCCTCAACTTCTCAACTTCTGGCTACGCGTCTCCATCCTGCCTACATGCGACCGATGATAGCGACCTCTGCCGGCCTCGCAGGCGAACGAGCGACAGCTGCTTGGAGGACATGCAGGATGAGGTCTGGTAGCTTTCGTTCATCTGATCAATATTACTTATTGCTTTCAATTCATTGTCTTGACTTTGAAAAACAATAATTGTCTATTTATTGCTTCTTGCACAAACTTGCGTGAGCAGGACTATCCAATGTAATTAGTTGTTTTAAAATATTTACTTTTTTAATAATTATAATAACTGAATAAATAAATAGATAAAATAAATAAATAAGTAAATTAAACTTTAGCCTTTGGATCTTCGGATGACAACAAAAAAGAGGCTTAACTCAGGCAGTAACAAAAGTGTAAATGACGACGATGATGGTGATGATGATGATGATGAGAACGAAAGCAACTCCGGCGATGATGAGGAAAGTGATGTGGATGTGCTGGTGGACGATGGCGACCTTGCAAGGACAGGAAGTCCCGCTGCTCGCGAAAAGGACTGTTCAATTGGAAGTAGGACAACTGCTGGCGGAATGTTGAAGCAGGAGTTGGACGACGATGAGGATTGCGATGAGGAAGTGAGTGACGACGACGACGACGACGTTCATAAAACTTTGAAGCCGTTGAAAGTTTCCACAACAGCTACAACAATTCTCAGCTACTCCAGCAACTCTGTAAACATCACGAACATTTCTAAATACTCCCTCCCGGCTTCCAACTGCTTGAAAACATTTGAAACTCAAACATCCTCCAAGTCGACAAATCAGACGGCCTTCTCAAGAACTTCCAAAACAACATGCAGTCAGGTGGAGGAGAAGAAGAATAAGAAGAGATGCAAGAAGTGGCTGCCGTGTGACGTGTGCGGGAAGAAGTTCGACAGGCCATCCCTACTGCAGCGACACATCAGAACACACACAGGTTGTACAGTTCATATTGTTTCATGCTGTCGGGTACGGTGGAACTTTGAGAAAACCCTCACTGATCAATGTTGTTTAATTGAAAAATGGTCACTCGTCACTAATTTATTATAATTATTTTTATTTACAAAACATACTGCAACAATGTTGAGTCCACTGTTACAAGCATAATAACATTAAAAAGCAACAAACATGCCCGAAAGGTGAAAAGCCGCACGTGTGTGACGTTTGCGGCAAGGCCTTCTCCACCTCCAGTTCGCTCAACACCCACCGACGCATTCATTCTGGCGAAAAACCCCACGTCTGTCCAGTCTGCAGTAAGAAGTTCACCGCCAGCTCCAACCTCTACTACCACCGCCTCACGCATAAGAAGGTACGTTCCTCAGATTGTCCTCGATGGTGCATTGATCCGTTTGCTTGTTTCATTTTCAACGTTCGTGTGTTTCTTTCTACGCGCCATTTTCAACAAGAACAAATTTAACGATGACGCTGAAAATTTTGAATTCCGAACAAACATTTTACATGCATTCACACTAAAATTTATTCATTGTTCAAAGTGTTGTGAATCATATATATATATATGTTTTTTTAAATAACTCGAATCTCTCGAAACAAACTATTTTCTGTCTCAACGAAGGAGAAGCCTCACAAGTGCACGGAGTGTTCCAGGTCCTTCCCAACCCCGGGCGATTTGAAGAACCACCGGTACACACACACGGGCAGCTGGCCGTTCATTTGTCCCATGTGTCGGAAGGGATTCACGAAGTCGTCCAACTTACGCAACCACATGGCCTTCCACTTTGGTATGACTTTCTTAATTTCATAATTTTCAGACTTGTGATATCAATCTGGTTAAATTATTTCTTCCGTGGTAAGTATGAAATCATTCAGTTCGTTCAGTTCATGCTCTTGTGTAAATTCCATGAATTAGTGACGTCGAACTTGCACGAATGCACAGCACAGTGGTTCTCTGTGGTTTGATGCTCTGCATGCAAAATTGATAAGTAGAAATTAAAGTTTTTACCGATTTGAAAATTTTGTAGCAGCAGATTGGTCAAAAAGTGTAAGAAATGATTGTTAGAAATCTAACTTCAAAGTCTAACAGCCACCACAATGTTATTATATTTGGCTCTCAATCATTCAATCAGGTCCTGAAGCCAGGCAGTGTGACAGGTGTAGCGAGTGGACGAGTGTAACTGCAAGTGGAAGGGAGGGACTCTGTGGCAACTGTTTCTCAACTTCAGTTAACAAATGCAACATCAACAACATCAAAAACAACAACAT